ACACTCCCAGAGAACGTTGACGACATCAGCTACAAAAGAGCAATAGCCTATCACTGAGAGTCATTTAAACTGGTTTTATCTGTTAGATCTGGCAACCCAAAGCCAGAAGGTCATTTTGTGTTCTGACTGGATAACCGGCTTGAGCAAGGAAATACGATGTCTGTGAAGTGTTAATGTTGACAAGACATTTTGGAGTTTTAGACTTTTAAATTACTTTTTGTTAGGTTTGTTTTGATACGGATACAGGTATTGGCAAAAATGCAGATACCGCACATTTTTCAGCAGGTTAAATGTAGTCTATAGAGGTTCTGCAGACACTTAAACATGTTGATAATTACAGAAATGACATTTGTGTTTCCTCTTTCATACCTTCTTTTAGCCTTTAGTGTAGACGCTACTGAGAGTGCAGCGACAACCACAGCAACAGCACAAACTCAGGCTTTGTTTATTTTGCAGAATTAGCCATGTGTTCTGAGGATGAGCACCTTTCTACAGGCCTCACTGTTGGTTTTATCCATGCACTACGATAGAAAGTAACAAATTAGAAAAGTGCTTAAATCAGCACTACCTATGGTCAAAATCATTATATATTTGACTCACACTTAATTCTCAAAATCTAATTTATTCTTTTAGATTTTCTTTAGAAATAGCCTTTTAGTAGATGCATTTATTGTTCTTGAACTGTAACAAAATTGAGTAGCCTTCGTCTACTTCTTCACATTATGTGGTATCAGACTGGTATAGGTATCAGCAAGAATCACATCAGATCCCAAGTATTGGTATCGGATGCCAAAAAAATTGTATTGGAACAACCCTACTTTAGTTCCAAATTCGAATGTTCATACCTTGACAGCTTTGACTGGACTCTTCCGTCTTCCTCACAAGTGTCATGTGATGTGCTGCTCAGATGATTTAAAAAGATTTTGGTGCCGTCTTCCTACATGGTGCAAGAGGACGACAGCTCCATCTGCAGTCTGAATTCTTTAGAACTATTGCCTGGATGTGAGAAAGTTGGTACACTCCCTTATCTCGATTTACAGTCTGGTAAATCGAGAAAAAAATAAAAAAAAATAAAAAATACTCAAATATAATGACTTTAAAACAATATTACAGTATGTACAAAGTAGTGGCCCAAGCAATTATGTAAGAGTAAAATGGAATTTGGTGGACATTACTACAAACAAATACATTTTTTGTCACTTGCAGATAATAGAAACTGATTTTGACACCCAAATGATCATTTTAAAAGCTCTTTTTTAAACAATATTGTGTTTTTATTGTTATTGTATTGTTTTTTTTATTTATATTAAATAATTTGTTTATTATACCATGTGGTCTTGTACTAGTTCTGATAAAACTAAAGGTTTAAAGGTAACTTTTCAACTTATTTTCTCCATGTTGCTTTGTTTCACAGTATGGCATTAAACCTTCCTATTTTCATTGAGACCAAACCAGACCAAGTTACAGGTCAGGTCTGTGGAGCGGCAGTCAGAATACCTCTTTTTCTAGGTATTTTTGAGCCATAAAACCATCTGTAATAGAATAAATGTAAGGTAGAGTTGTTTAATGTCACACTGTGGAACATTCAAGCAGGTGATGGACCTGCAACATAGCAACCGTTACATAATGCACTTTTGAGGTCAAATTTTATCCAGTTTGTGTTTTTTAGTACTGATATTTGCTCAAATGAATATCCAATTTCGATATTAGTTTTAGTACAACTTAGTATCTGATTTTTGATACAGATTTTTGACAACACTACTCAAGAGCACTGTTTCATTTTAAGTATAGGCAGGAGTTTATGTTGGCTTGGCTCCCGTCGTAAACTGTAAAATCTCCAAAATGGATTCTTGCCCAAGGAGAAAGTGCAGTGTCCTTCAGCGCGGGTGTTTTTTTACGGGCTCGTGTTTTCTATTTGTGTTTGTGTCTTAAAGGGACGGGAATGGCAGTTATGTCCACACTGGTGTCAACGCCCGTCTTCATGCGCTGGTGCTAAAGTCTTTCCATTTGATCACAGCAGACACACGTGCAGGACCGTGAAGGAAGGCATGCTCTGGGACAATGCACCCCCCCCCACTAATGTGACCACCTCACACCTCACACAACTGCACATTGAATACGATGAACAATGTGATGAGACATAAAGGGACAGACTCTGTAATATATACTTTGAAGAACACAAATTATGCATTCTTTTGGCTTTAATTCTCTTTTAAAGCGGATCCATTTTGCACAATAGTCTTTTTCAGAGGTTTCTCATTCTCATTTACCCTCTCAAAGTTTTATTTGGAGTGATTTGTGCATGTTTGAGTAATCTTTAGTCTCTAAGATGTCATATTGCCGATCAATGCCTGTTTTTACTGTCAATGGCATATAGCCCTAACCTGATTCATCAGCCGGTTTCACTTTGTTTGACTTCGTAGAAACCGTCTGACCTCGCAGTGTTAGAATTCGTTCGCTCAACGGTAGGCAGGTACTCTTTATCATTTAACCAATCACTGCTATTTGGTCATGACGTATGTAATGGTATATTAAGCTTTTCCTAAATCCTGTAGGAAGAAGGGCAATAACGTCTTTCCTACTGATGAAATTCAACAAACATTCTCTTTATTTCTGCTTTAAATCCTTGATCTCAGGAGTCATTGACAACACTGAATATATGGCTCTTCGCTGATTGGCTGGTGCCTGAACTCGCACTTCCAGGGTTCTTGCAAACTGTCTATTGAATTTTGATTGTTGACCTAGTCGCTGGAGAGAAATGAAATTGAGTGGAGGCAGTAGGTGACGCCAGCCTGGCTAATATACCCCCTACTCTGAACTTACTTTGTCCAGTTTTACATTTTCTTATTTTCTTTAATTTGATACAAATGAAAAAAAAAAAAAAAAAAGGACAGGTGGTACCACTGAACCCCCTTGCACCAACACCACCGCCCCCTCCTCCCCTTCTCACTCCCACAGTCCTGTAGGTCACAGGATTCCCACAAACAGTCGGACGTGACATAAAGTCAATTCAAAATTGCGGCGTTGCAGTAAGAGCAGAGGTGTAAAACTGTGAGCCAGTGTGCCTCTCTCATTTACACTGTTCAAACTGGCGCCTGGAAGATTAACTCTCCATTAAACAATAGGGCTGACATGTTTTTAATCATGGTATGCATATTTATAGATTCACATTTGTGGAGGCAAATTGATCTTAGACGACATGTGTTCACCGGGAAAGATTATATAGCACCTCACAGTGGGAAGGGTTCATATTTGATTCCCAAGTCGTGTTTGCTAACCTGGCTCATGTCAGATTGATATGTGTGTCACTCTAAATTTAGTTCTACCTGTCAGTCTGGAACTGCTCTCACTGAAAATAACTGGGCAAAGGTAGAACACCATGACGAGTAATAGAATCTGATTAGTTTAAGTGTCACAACAACAGAACAAGATGATAAACCAAATTTTTTCTTTAATCCAGCTGAGAGAGAAGCACAGACATCTTTTATCACTTACGTCTGCACTTAAAGGACCAATCTATCCATCCATTTTCTTCCACTCAGCTCCTTCTTCACCACAACAGTCTGATACAGCCACTACATCTCTGCAGACTCTGCATCTATCCGCTTGTCAATCTCTCGCTCCATCTTTCCCTCACACTTGAACAAGACTCCAAGATACCTGAACTTCTCCACTTGAGGCTGGAACTCTCCACGCACCTGCAGAGGGCAAGCCACCTTTTTCCAGTCTAGAACCATGGCCTCAGATGTGGAGGAGCCGATCTTCATTCAAGCTGCTTCACACTCAGCTCAAACTGACCAAGGGCATGTTGAAGGTCCTGGTTTGTTGAAGCCATCAGGACAACATCATCAAAGAGCAGAGATAAGACCCTCTGATCCCCAAACCGCCTGTCTGGTCCCTGTATGACCGAAGCAGGAGATGTGTTTGCATTGCCAGCCATAAGTCAGACCTACTCCCAGTGTCAGTGGTTCTGTAAACGGCCCATGTTACCCCATTTCTGACCTCTGTTACAATATTATTCCCTCATCAAAACTGCCATGCTGCTTTAGTTGAAGGATTGGTTGTTGGTTGGGTTTGGGAGGTTGTGACGATGTGGTTGAACGGACACACACAATGTCAGCATGCACATAAGGTTTGAAGCAGCTACTGCGTGACATTCATGAACGAGTCGGCTCTTTTAAACGGTTTCTTAATGTGGATGGTTGGAACTGGATTTCATTTTCTAACCAAATATTTTTTCTTTCCGATTTTTATGAATTCACTGATTAAACAGAGCAGGAGTCACAAGAGAGAGCTTTGTGCACAAAAACACATTTGGCATCAAAATAACAGTTCATTTTTAAAGATTATTATTATTTTAGTGCAACGTTTTATTTAGGTTATGTATAATTTCAATGTATAAAAGCACTCTCACTCTCAGTTTGAACCATTTTAAACAAATCAAAGCCTTAGTCATTCCTCTCTGTGATTAGTTTAAAGATAAAATAAGTTTTCACATCGACTTCTGCCATATAAAGGAATTTAAAAATAGCCAGTCTTGAATGAATGGATCCAAAAGATTCGGAACCCATAAAAGAGCCAAAAGTCCCATCGCTGCCAGCTACCCACAGGTTGTTAGCCACGTCATACTCCGCATACAGTACAGTGTCCAGTTGGTCATATATTTCTTGCTGAATGCTGATGACAGGGAGTGGTTAGTGTGAGTTGTAAAGCAGACAGAGGAACGCTCATGTGTCAGTGCGGACATGAGAATCGCTCTGAGCAAACACAGGGTTACGTCTGTCCACATCCTCCTTCACAGCTCCTCACTCACTGACACTGGGTAAGACAAAAACATGTGTTGCGGTTAGAGAGAAAGAAAGTCTAATGAAATTCGACTTTTCATTTTTTCACAATCTTCTCTTTGAGCTGATTATAAAAAGGTATGAAACATGACTACGATTTGAAAACAAAATTCTTAATTTGCTCTTTTAAACTTCTTTATTTGCTCTTTCCTGCAGGTGGGTGAACTCTGCAAGCAATACTCCAGTTCCAAAGGCGTCTTCTGAAAACATGTACCTGTGGTCTGGAGGAAGATCTGATGGAAAAACTCCAAGTGACTCCAAGTACGTACAACTCTTGTAAAGGGGTGGGCAATATTGAATTTTTCTTTTTCTTCGCAACCCATAAAAAAAATAATAAATGAAAAAAAATACCGCGTATATGTGAGCTTATATTATAATATCTTATTGTTTTTATTATGAGGAAAAAAAACAAAAAAACAACTTTATATACCGTATTTTCTGGGCTATAAGGGCTTCTAACGATATCAAAAAATGACTGCGTGCCCGGCAATCCAAAGCGCCCTATACACGAATCCACTCGGGTGTCCCAGCACGACTTCAGTAAACTACAAAGCTGCAGCGCACGCAAACACACACGGAGCAGACAGCGACCGCGCAGCGAAACATACCCGCAGCCACACTCATCACTCCACGCCGACGAGGAATGGAACGGAGGAACGAACCGAAAAAGTGCAATGTGTCACTTCTAGACACAACTGAACAACTGAGTCACTGCGAACACACCGACAATCCAGCGGTCCCAGACAGCACCCTCCCTACACGCCACAACTGAACAAAGCCCAGAGTCACCGTGAACGCACCAAACAAAGTCCCACTGACCCATCGAACTGTTGTGTTTCATTTGAAGTCCGGTGTGGTTTATTTGTGAAAAAAGTTTGAAAATAGACCATTTAATGACAGTGCGCCTTATAATCCAGAGCGCCTAATAGTGCGGAAAATACGGTACTTTGTAATACTTTAAATTCCACAGCAGATGGCAGCATTTTGAGGCTTCATGAAGCTTTATGCTGTGACTGGCTCTGAGGCCTCATTGGTCCATGAGGCTTCATTTTGCACATCAACACTACTAATACTTGTTTTACAGATTTTCTTTTGATATTGCTCACCTCTATAAAGTCCTCTTGTTGACACAGCAGGGACATGGTTGTAAGGGCTTGTTGATGTGTGTGTGTCAGGTCCCTGTACCAGCGTCTGAAGGAGTATGAGCTCCTGGATAAGAAGAAGACGGTGACAGCTCTGAGGGCGGGGGAGGACAGGGCCATCCTGTTGGGGCTCAGTATGATGCTCTTCTCTGTCATGACCTACTTCGTCATGGGCATCACCATCCTCCGCTCCTACTCTGACAGGTGAGCAACAAAGGGCTAAAGGGAGGGGATGTCCAAATCTTGATGTTACAGTTTATGATCTATGAATGCCCCGACACAGACGAACCTTGCACAACTCACAAGAAACTCACAAGAATCCATCTTGACATACTTCCGCTGTAGGGATCAAACTCACATTGAGGTTTGGGCGGAGCGGCAAAGTGCTTACATGAATCAAAACAAACATGACAACGACAACTGACATATGTACTTCAGCCTCGAGAAAATGTAACAATAACCAAAATATCGTGATATCGTACCGTCAATAATATCGTGGACCATCACAACATATCGAATTGCAAGTCTCTTTGCTTAAATTAAGAGTTATGGTGCAGCAATAGTTAAAAAAAAAACAAAAAAAAAAACCCAAACAAAAAGCACAGGGAACTACATAGACCATGATCCTTTGCTCCATTTCAGTGTAGACTACAAGAAGAAATAACAGTTCTAAACATTTTTAAGTCTTAGTTCTTTGGACTAAATCTTGTCACAGCATTTTAAGAGGAAAAAGTAATTCGCAGTTTTGTTAGACTCCACAAAATATCACAATAAATATCATACCATGAGACGTCTATCATGAAAATATCGTATTGAGAGATTTGGATATTGTTACATCCCTAATTGCGAGCTTTCCCACGATATCTCAATAAATATCGTACTGTGAGGTTCATACTGTGACAAAATTGTATCCTGTCACTTGGATATCTTTACACCCCTAATTATTTAGTTTGTGAAAAACATTCAGAAGGGAAGAGATTTGTGCATTTGTGACAGGGAAGATGTACTTTTCTCTCAACTGGATGTAACAAAAGTTAGATTTTTTTTAGAGTGTTCTGCTGTTGTGACATTGTCTGATTGCTTTCGGTGAGAGCGAGGCCATCCCAGACTGATAATGTATAGAAGTCAATTCAGAGTGACACATATATCAGTCTGGTGTGAGCCATGTTACAAAAGACATGTTCAACTCAAATTAACAAAGTAGAAAATACTTGGCTCTTGTGCGGTTTTGGTTGCTGAAAATCTGGTGCAGCCTCTGAGCTCATTGAGTGAATTCTGTGAGGTTCTGAGCTTTGACATGAGACATGACCTGACAAAATGTGAAGTATAGTTTATTCTTTATTTGTCAGGGACCATTTACAAATTCATTCATTTTACAAAATAATAATAATAATAATAAAAACTACCAGATTTAACTGTTGCTACTTTCTTTGCCTGGAAATCCAGAACGATATCTCTGTTTTTTTTATACAGATCAATATCAGACTGACCTCCACGCCCTCTGCTGCATCTCAAGCTTAGTCAAACATGATCGTGCCATCAGTGACTCATGAAATAAAGGAGCTCAGTAGTATCATTGATAAATAAAACCAAATTTCTCTCTCCTCAGGGCCTGTTTACACAAGAACACAAGAACAAAACCGCTAAATATTTTAATGAAAGTGCCTTTTGTTTAGACAGTGATGGCGTTTTTGGGGCTTAAAAACGCAAACATCTGAAACCATCCTCCAGAGTGGAAAAGTTGAATACGTTCCGTCTACACTGCCCAAGACGCAAAACTCTGGTCAGATCTGCTCACGTCACATACGCGTTTACGTCGCATACGCGTTTACGTCGCATACGCGTTTACGTCACATACATACAGTACACAGAAACAAACATGTCAGATGGCGTGCGTACCCAATCGAATTTCACACACTTTTGCATCACCATATGCACATAGATTTCTTCCCAAAAATGCTTCTCTAAATGAGGAATAAAAAGTGAAGACATGATGCCACTTTTACTTCTTCTGTTCAGACCGTCATCATATAAATGTGGCCTCAGATGAACAGAGTTTAGTGCCTCGCTTCGATTCTGCAGAAATCCAGTTTTTCAGTCCTGTAATATACTTTCCTGGCTAATCCACCTGTCACTCATCTTCCAACTAGGTGATTCACCGGTGGTCAGACTCACATCTTCGTAAATTATTGAAGAAGTGTTTATTCTGTATCCCGGGCAACTACTTTTCATGCAGCACCAGGAGCCTTCAAAAGTGAATAGACGCTTCTCAGCTCCTTCACATCGATTCTGTTTGTACAATTGATTGCTACAAAGGAACAAGAAAACACATTTAGTACAAATGAGTTCAAAACAATAGTCTAGTCTGCTGGTGATACAAGCGTGGATCCATGTCTCAGCATCATTTTGACTTAATAATTATGCAATGTTTCTCAAATGATAAAAAGTAGTGATGGGCGAATGGAGTCTCGTGAAAGCATTGACACCTCACTCGCAATGTTGTCTCAAATGGTTCGATGTGTCTGAGACCTTAGAGAAACACTGACCTCTAAAGGACAAATTTAAACATTGGCGCGCAGGTTTCTCAGCATCGATGAAGTATTGTTAGTGTAAGACACAGGTGTCAAACATAAGGCCCGGGGGCCGAATCCGGCCCTCCAAGACCTTTAATCTGGATCTTGGCTTATTTGTACTAAAATATTTTAATTATATTTTTTATTTAAATATTGGTAATTTTCTGCGGCGCTTAGCATTAGCAGCATTTCCAGCGTCTCTGTACGTGGCCCCTCCCACCAGAGCAGCACAAATGAAGACTTGTCTCTTTCCAAACGCTCTTAAAGGACGATCGTTTTGACTGTTGACCGTGACACCCTCATCAGAAAAATGTCCAACATGAGAAAAGTGGAGCTGAGTGCAGGATTTTCAAAGAAAAATAGACTTATTCCTATTTGCATAGAAGTTTATGTTAAAACATTGTGTTGACAATTGCATTTTTCTTAAAGTTTCAGGTTGTTCATAATATTATAATATTTTGTAAAAGAAATAATTCATCAATTAAAAAAGATTTCTGTAATAGATTTGTGTTTCTCTGCACAAATATTTGAACTTATTGTTATTTTTGAGGTATATATGCCATGAGTTTTCTGTTTTATCCCCTTTGGGATAAAAGTCAGTTGGATACGGCCCCCGGACCAAAATGAGTTTGACACCCCTGGTGTAAGACAATACTTGTGTTCAGAGCGACACCGTACCTAACAACAACAATAATAATAATGATGATTTAAAATAATATGTAAAGAGCAACATAAATATCATGCTGTAAATAAGAAAATAGGTGTTACCCTGTTAGGTGGAATTAGATCAAAGTGATCCCAAACCATGGATCACTTTTTTTCACGTGTAGATGCCATCGAAAATGAAATAAATGCCAAAAGTCTCCAAAATCACCACTAACGTCACACAACACTCCTCACTATCCAACATTTTAAAGAAATATTGGAGCATCTTTTATACTGTAGCAGTTTAGCGCTTGTCAAACCACAGAAGTGCACTGAACACTCTGAAGCACTCTGAACCAATCGCAGAGCGGAACATTCGCTGAGCCAATGAAACGCTTCGATACAGTGAAGCGATCGAAACGCAGAGCGAAGCAGTGAGGGGAGGGACCGACACTTCCACATTTTGGTCACGTGAGCGGCTGCTGCGAGACGAGCTCCGAGGCAGCGCTTCTGAGCAATTTGTTTCAGAAAGGACGAGACGTGCTCCGGAGCTCCGTCTCATTTGCCCATCACTAATAAAAAGGGTTATTGGTGACTGCTTATGTGAACGTTACTTTTTCTCTATTTGATTTAGACCTGCCTACTGCTGTTTCTGTTTTATTTTCATTTGATTTCTGAAAGTCTGAGTCCATCCCTCTATTCATGACAAAATGGCAGCCTGTGATGGATGAAATTGCTTCCTTTTCATGTGAAATACGTAGTGTCGTCTGCAGCACTATGAAAGCAAACGTGAAGTTTTCTGATGACATGACCGAGCAGAAGCATAGAAAAGGAGAAAAGCAGGGTGACAGAGAGCGTCGTCTCTTTCTCTCTGAAGCTTGTTCCCCAAGAGTGACATACAACGTTTTGTCCCTGATATATGAGATTAGCCAATCTAGAACGACACTGGAGAAGGCAGCCATTTTCTCCAGACGATCAATAACAATGTTGGGATCGACAGTGTTGAACGTGGCACTAGAAGAATAAGGATTGAGACTTTATTGTTATTGAGGTTCAATCTTAGGTCACCAGTTATTTTAGTAGTTTGATTCCAGTCTCCACATGTACTCATGACTTTATTTATCTGACCACTAACATGAACTGTTGGTACTACCTGATATATAGATGAGTAGATCTTTTTCACAACGGCCAGAAGTGCCACGATGTAGCTTCATAAATCTGCCCCATCACCAAATCTTCATCCAACAAGGTCGACAAAGGACATATTCTATTTGTGAAGAATTTATCCACAACTATCAATATAACAAAGATGAAAACTTAAACGCAAACAACGACAAGCATTAGTGAACTACTCCTGAGCAAAACAAACTTTATGGTCATGAATAAAACATAAGTAACTTGTGAACTCAGACTGATTCTTGAATAAAAATTTAAAATTGATTTAATGAGGTAGATATTACAATAGATAAAGAGAACTGTGCAGTTTGAATGCTACAAATGTTCACAGATTACATGTATTTAAACTGAAAAAATCTCTGTCTATGCTGATATCTACATCATGAAATCAATTTTTAAGTTTAATTGTAGAATGAGTCTGAGTGAACAAGTTAATTGTGTTTTATTCATGATCATAATGTTAGTTTTGCTCAGGAGTAGTTCACTAATGCTCGTCGTTGTTCGCCTTCACGTTTTCGTCTTTCTTACCTTGATAGTTGTGGATAAATTCTTCATAGACAGAATGTTTATCCTTTGTCGACATTGTTGTTTGAAGATTTGGTGATGGGGCAGATTTTTGAAGCTGGTGGAAAATACACGAAACATTTCCCCAGATATTTTGACATAGAAAAGTATTAACGTAAGTGAAGTGAAGTTTATCCTACATTGCGGCACTTCTGGCCATTGTGAAAAAGATCTGTTAAATCCCAGAAATGCAATAACATCTCCATGGATAACCTTCCATCAAAAAAAGATGCACACTGCACGTTTAATGTTAACAGATATATTCAGAATCTTAACAGTGTCTTCTTTCCTCCGGGCTCAGTATCTGGACAGAGGAGGCCAACTGCACCGTGCTGAACTCCACCCTCCTGTGGGACGTGAACTGTTCGTACAGCTGTGGAGCCGAGTGCTGGAAGTCCTCCAGGTATCCCTGTCTGCAGGTCTATGTGAGTCTGCACAACAACTCCTCCAGGCGAGTACTACGACTACTGCACAACGAGGACACGCACGAGGACAACCCAGAGGTACACACAAACGCGCAATTTTTTTCTAATTTTTGTGTCTATTCTTTTAAAAAGATATATTTTGTGCTTTATTTAATTTTTTTATCCTTCAAATTAAGTTAACATGAAATTATAAATTTGATGTTACGTCCCGACACCACTGTGTAACATTTGGGTTGGGCGTCTGTCCCCTGCTTGTTTCTACGGATATGTCATTATTTTGTCTGGAATGTTCTACAGAAGTGGTTTTCAATAGGTGAGGCCCGTCTCGCCTGGGGGGCACCAAAGAGCCACTGGAGACATACGGACTAAACCAGAACTGTTCCCAGGACTAAACCAGGACTGAACTAGAACTAAAACAGGGCTAAAACAGGACTAAACTAGAACTGAACCAGGATTGATTGTCGGGACGGGCTTGGAGGTGTGAAAGGATCGGCACAGAGCTCCGAACCCCACAGGGCTAAGTGCAGCCATTGCCCGATTGCACTTTGATTAGTCCTGGTTTAGACCTGGTTCAGACCTGGTTTAGTCCTGGTTTAGACCTGGTTTAGTCCTGGTGACCTACTGATGTTCAGTAATGTTAAAAGTCGCCTCAGATAGGCCTGCATGAAGTTGGGAATTACTGTATTTGCTGTTGCCAAAATCTTTTATAAATGCACTTAAAAAAAATAAAAAAATAAAAAATCTGTTGTTATTGAAACTCATCATTGCTAGGAACACAAAAGATGGATTTACTTTACTTCTGGGGGAGGGCAGGATGGGATTTTGCTCTACAGAATGACATTAAGATTCCATACTGTGAAACATTCCAGACAAAGCAATAATATCTCCATGGAGAAAAACATTTGACGGACCCTCCATGAGAAAACGTGTACCTTTAAGTAAAAAAAAATGTATTCTTTGCATATTATTATTTTCTTGTGTGTGTCCCTTCAGTGCTTCTACATCCCAAAGTGCCATAAAGACTACGCTGCCACTCGGGAGCTGGTGCAGGACATTTCAGAGCGCCTCAGGAACCTTCAGTCCGTGCCGTGTTTCATCGACCCCAAAGAGAGGACGGACATGGCCATCCTGACGCAGATCTACAGCCGGGGGGCGGTGTTCCACTCCCTCTTCTGGCCCACCTGCTCTCTGATCGGGGGCTCCGTGCTCATCGCGATGGTCAAACTCACCCAGTACCTGTCCATCCTGTGTGAGGGGCTCAGCAAGATCAAGACGTGACCGACGGAGACGAGTTTAAGATGTATTTGTATTATTATTTCAGTGTTATTTGCATCAGTGCTTGACTATAAAGGACATATCATGCTAAATGGTGGAGTTAATTAATCATTGGATTTATTTAGCAACTTTCAAAACACCCAAAGTGCTTTAGAGTGCATAATTCACTCCACATTTGTTCGTAAAGGCCTTGTACCTGATTGTCCTCTCATGCACTCTTAAGGTAAGGTAAGGCACACTTTATTGTACCTGTAGGAAAATTTGTCCTCATTTGACCCGTACTTCAATGCTGCTGGGAGCTCGGTCAGGACTACCACAGCAGGAGGATTTATACATGTTTTGGGTTGAAGAGGGACTGCCTGTGTAACGGTGATTACATGGTATTTGATTGCACGCATCTTTACTTTTATTGGGCTAATGCTTTTTGGTTGAGGAGTGGCCTCTTGAAGTGACCGGTAGTGATGAGTTCCCCCTGGCGCCGGGAGCATGTTGTCAGTTCATGAGCGATTGGCATGAGGCGGGTCACTGATTGTAGCTCTGTCAGTAAAAATCATGTAATTCTGTTTAATTATTCATTATATGATCACAGCCTAATTTTGCACATGTTGTGACAGAAGGTAACTTTTAGACGGTGGTATTGATGGTATCCAGACTAGGGATGGGCATGATTAGTTGATTAACCGATAATTTATCATTAAGAATTTCATCGATGATGTTCCTTTTAAATTGACAAACCAAATGTAGACTGCTGTGTGTAGCGTGACCAAACAGGGGTCTGTACATGTGTCTCTCTGCACTCAGAAGGAGCGAGACACAAACAGTTGGTCAGCCTGCAGCGTACCGAAGCAAAAATGCGTATTTAACGATGATTTGTACAAGAAATTCCGTGCTTTCCATTGCTTTCGGGACAAATGGGAGGCCATGTGCACAGTGTATAAAGCAGCACATATGTTTCGGTGTCCAGTGGGAAAAAGCGTTGCCAGGTGAGAATCGCTCAATGTCGATGACGAGTCCCCTCCTCCCTCCCCCCGTACAGTGTCCTGGTTTTGACAAACGCAAATATGGTCACACTAACCTGTATTCCACTGAGTCATGTCTTTTAATCCGACAGAAGTTGAACCGCATCAGCGACACAAGAGCTGTTTTTTTTTCTTTGCTTAGTTTAGTTTAAATGAGCCATGCGGTTTTAAGTTTTGTTTCTGTGAGAGTTGCGCAAAGCTGCATTAAACACATTATAATCTCAAACGGGCTGATGTGGCTCTAGAGTGGTTACAGTTTATATGTCGTAAAGTCGAATGTATTTATGCAGATTAGTAGTGCAGATAGTAATAATAATGATGACAATTTTAATATAAAAACGTTAATGATTAATCGATAATCGATCATTAATTCTCCCGACTATCAATTAAGAAAATTTTATCGAATATCGAATGCCCATCCCTAATCCAGACCAGTATAGATTTTGTTTCATGGAGATTAAAACCAAAAGTCAGCACCGTGTTCTGGCCACTTGTTCACAACACAACGTCGATCAACTATACGACAGTCAAAGACGAACACAGACGGTTACTCCTGCAACCAAGCTGGGCTTTTGCACTGCCAAGTTCAGCGCAGTTACACCTGGAGGAAACCCTCCAGACACAGGGAGAACATGCAAAAAACCCTGCTCAGAAAGGCCCTTCAAACCCGGAACCTTATTGTTGTGAAACGTGAGTGCAGCCATCATGCTGTTATCATAGTTGTTCAGATAGATAGATTTAGATAGTTGTTTGTAGTATTCCGGTGACAGCAAAACTTTGCTCTGGCCATGCTTATAATGTTGTTGTGGTGAATAATTAGGATGGTCACATATAACTGCAAACAATTTAAAATGAACTATGAATGAATGAACTGTTTTTTATTATTTAAGACGGTAAAAATCTGGTACAAGGCCTTTGACATTAAAAGAGTTAGAGCAGCCAAATTGAATGTCACCTTGTTAAATCTTTAGTGTATTCAAAACAAAAGAACAAAATCTGAGATTTTATGACTTTTAATAAATATATGTTTTTTTATATTGTTGTGTGCCTCTTGTAAACTAAAAATGTTCCTTTTATTGTTTTGAAAACAGCATATTTATCACGCAGGTAACTTGGCCTCAAATGCAACACAAGCATACAGGCAAACAAAGTCTTAGTTCAATAACAGAAAGTGTCCTATAAGTGGTAATGTTTAATACGGCAAATTGGACTGAAAATAACAGAGGAATATATGATTATCAGATGTGAACTAAAGTATCTTCCAGAATTGGGAAATATGGGTTGGGAATAAACTCAGAAACAGGTACAAACAAGGAATTAAACAGTATTGCACTAAATTCAAACAACAGGGTTCAGATTCAGAGTTTCAGGTAAGACTTGAATCTTCACAGGTCAATAATCTAGCAAAGACTGAGTGAGCAGTACAGTATAGAGTGGAATACAGACTAACCTGGGATGATCAAGGAATGGGAGGCAGCTGCAGGAAAAGGAGGGAGGCAGCGAGAGGACAATCGGAACAAACTGACAGAGCTGGACTGGGGAAAACGTGTAAACAAAAGGCAGAACTGTGGCAATATTAACAGAATTTATTAGTTTCACTTTGAGTTTCCCCTCCCTTTGCTCCCCATGCTAAGTCACTCCCTCTTCAGAGCACTATCACAACACAATCAGCATGCATCATACTAATGAAACTACTGCACATTGCATCAGGTTTGTCAAGTTGTTTTCATGTTTTTGTATATTTATGTAGAATTATCGTGTGGGAGCGTGGGAGATGTCGGCTTGTGGGCAGAGCGTTGCACAGAATCTTACAGCTGACCGTAAAGAGGGTTCGAATAGGACCCGGGAGAGACTTTCTACCAAGTTACATCATTGTAGCTTGGTAGAAAGCAAAAAATCGATTTTGCATAACACCCTCTTTTTAAACTGTTTTGCAAGATGCTCTGAGATACAAAAAGAAGACACACAACACAAAAATGTCTTCAGTTGTCCAGAAAGGTTACATCACAAAAGAAAAGTGAATTGTGCTGTACACACTGGACCAAAGAATACAGTCATTTCTTCATTTTGAAAAGAAACTGTTCAGAAAATGACTGATGTTGTCGACACAATGCCTGGTCTAACCTGAGGCCTGGTTATGTAACAGAACAAAACCAAAGACGGGTTTCTGTAGGTCAAATCAACAAAAAAGTACAGTCAAAGTAAAGCCTTTTTATGTCTCTCTGTGGAATATGAAAGAACTGGGTGAGCAACAAAAAAACGAAATGTTTGTAATGTAACACTTCAAATCTCTCTCAGCAGGAGAGCGTACACAGCTATAACGTCTGACATTCATAAGAACATTTACAACAAGTAAACGCAACAGAGAACGTGCAATATATTTTGATGCACCTCAAAGAACCAAGTTACAAATTGAACATTATTTGTAAAATAATAATTTTCAGAATTTGTATGCCCTTTGTATGTCAACTTTATATGTTTTAATTAAATTTATCTATGTAATATTTCACACAACAGAACATCGTTTTGATAAAAGTTCATTGAAAAAATAAATAAATTCACATTTAGATTAAGGAAATACACCGATGCAGCATTTTCACTTCCGATAACGATATTGTTAATTTAACTTTAATTATCTACCAATTAAATTAATTCCCTAAAACAATGTAGGGATGGAAAATGGCACTTATTTCCTCAAAACACAATTCACTCATCACACAAGAGATCTAATAGTGTCATTTAACAATCAAAACGCCAGAGAAAAGCTTTCTATGAATAAAAATTCAAACATTATGAGATATTTTGGTCCAAAATCAGCCTGTAAATAGGTTTATTACATCCAATTAAAGGCCAAACCAGGATATTGACTGACATGATATCAAGGAACAATATTCAATCCAGCTAATTTTTTATTTCAGTGCCGACATTCAAAACTATTCAGCCCTAATTTAATTAAACTAACATTTAATATAAATTAACTACACATTTGTAATTTCCTTACACTTAAAATATTTGTTTGTATCAATATAAATTAGTTAAGTCACAAAAGAAAACATGCATGTATTTTAAATCAATATTTCAGTTTCATTATTGCCCTGCATGAAGACGATAAGTGAAAGGATAATGGTAATACTAACCTCCAACAGCAGATGGCACTGTGAGACAAAGCTCAAATCATGAGTCTCTGCACCTGAAAAAATAAAAGAACTGTAGGCAAGATTTTTTATTTTTATTACTATTATTTATTATTTATTATTTATTATTTATTTTTATTACAGTTATTAGCTGTCAGGCTCATACGTTTGGTTTTAGGCTTTCACTGATGACAATTGTAAGGCTGATTTATTCTTAATTACAAAAACATATGACATAATTACCTCATTTATTTATGTTATAATTTGGAGTTTTGGTTTTCATGACAGTTATCCAATCAGAAAGTTGGTTTAAATCTAAAATGCCAAAAATTTTTAAAACAGTAAGAGGCAGGTTACATACAGTTTCTTTAAATTGTGAGAGCAAAATCGACAGAATTAACAAAAAATAAAAATAAAAAAAATGTAATAAATCGGGCTGATAATTGAGTGTTAATAAAGTTAAATAAAGTGTAAACATATTGTTTTAGAGTCCACGTTTCAGACACGTGTTGTTAAAGCAAACGGCCTGAAGATGGCGCTCACACTACATCATGCAGCGTTTGAAGAGGCTGCACTTGTCACTGGGATTTCAAACTGTGAGAAACCTCTTCATTTACACCACAACAAACCCACCCACAGCTCCCACAAATGTTAATGCCACTATGGAACTTTTCTGGTGGAGTTTAGGCCACATGCTTGTCTCCATGGAGATGTTATTGCTTTTCCTGGAATGTTACGCAGAATGGGATTAAACTTATCGATTTTATACAAAATTATCTTGAAACACAGGCTTATTCTACTTATCGTCAGCGGGAACACCTCTCCACAGATCTGACCTGTGACTTGGCCT